CAATACTGCCAAAGAGCAAATACGAAGAAGATGTGTATGTTAATAATCACACTAGTGTTTGGGGCTCGCACTGGAAAGATCATCAATGGGGATATACATGTTGCCATCAGACCATCGCAACAGTTATTGCACAGGTTCTGCTGGAATTGAAGCTACAGAGGCTGCACTTGATCTGATGAAGGCTAATATTGCTCGCAAAGAAGCATGTGAAGTAAAAGATGAGAGGAAACGAAAATACAATTTCAAATACAACAACAATGTAATGATCAACTAACCAATCATAACACTTAAATAACATAGAATCCTATTATTGTTTTATTAGAGATTTATCAAATATCTCCCATTTCTCATCGGTGACTCCGGAAGAGATGGAAGCTTACAAAATAAAAAGAGTTCACCACGAGGATCCAATGAATGATTTCCTTTTCAAAAATTGTTAGTTTCCTTCACTATGTAACCTGAAGAAACTTTATTACAGTCGAACCTCTACAAATTAAATGCTGTATAGTTTAATAAGCAATTTAGACTTTATTTCTTTTTGAATTGTTTCACTTTTTAATATGAAAAAGGCGACAACGAATTTTTAATCAGATTGGAAAAGAGAAAAATATATACTCAGAATTTAAAGAATATGATGGTCTCGTCATAGTCACAAAATACATCGTTAGACGATCTGCTATTATCCTTACCCAATGATTTTGAATTTTTGATGATTGATCTCCATTGCATGATTATAACTAATAATGGAGACTGATGTAGAAGAATTTTCTAGCACTACGTAATACTTAAATTGTTCATCTTTCTAATACAAAACTAAAAACAAAACCTACCCTATCAACAACTATCCTTAACTAGACAAAAATTACAAACTTACCTATAGTTTTGTACGTAAAAAAGAAACAATAATTCAAATGTGATCACCATCGTTGAATTTGTTACAAAATTAGGCCAGCTTAGGTACTAGAATAAGATTACATTTCTAGTAATGTAATTGACTTGTAGAAAAAATTAATGCGAATTAATGTGCCTGGATTATTTGTCAACTTGTTGGATGAAAATAAGGTCCAAAGATTTAATTCCATGTGAAGTACTACTAATATAGAGTCTATTTTGATGTTAATTAATATTTACCCCAAAAAAAAATTAACCTCCCTGCCTTTGCTTATATTTTCTTAATTTTCCCTATATATAAACACACATTAAGTCATTAACGATTCATTTCCATCTTACACACTCTTTAAACACACAAAAAACATAAGTTAGTGAAAAAGACTAAAATGCCCTCGGTCGGAATTGTCATCGGAGATGGCAAAAGAGAATATCCCGGTAACCTCACTCCTTACGTCACCGTGACATGTATCGTCGCCGCCATGGGTGGTCTCATCTTCGGATACGACATCGGAATCTCCGGTACCTTTTCTTCTCCGGCGAGAATTTTTTTATAGAAAAAAGTTGAATCTTTTTACGATTTTTGTTGTTTTTTATTTCAGGTGGAGTAACGACTATGGAATCGTTTCAGAAGAAATTTTTCCCTTCGGTTTACGAAAAACAACGAAACAATCACGAATCGAGCAAATACTGCAGATTCGATAGCATTTCTCTCACTCTGTTCACTTCTTCTCTCTACCTTGCTGCTCTCTGTTCTTGCGTCGTTGCTTCTTACGTGACTCGTAAGTTGGTCGGAAAATTTCGATGCTTCTCGGAGGTGTTCTCTTTTGCGCCGGAGCTCTTCTTAACGGTTTTGCACAGGCCGTTTGGATGCTTATCGTTGGCCGTTTGTTACTCGGTTTCGGTATCGGATTCACTAATCAGGTCCGTTATTTTTAATCAAAAACCTTTCATTTCTGACCTCATACTTTACTTTCTATCACTTAGATCCCTATGGCTCCGTTACTTTTTTTGTGGATATTGTTGTTTGATTATAGCCCTGAAGTTATGTTATATTACAAAATAGCCTCAATACTAGATATATACTACACTTGAACCCACGTTTTGTTTGATTGTTTTTTAAATTTAGTAAAAAAATGTGTTTTTGTATTAAATAATGAGGATAGAAATCTTAGATGTATGTAACATTATAAAATATGTACTCAAATCTTACAAATGAAATTTATATTAATCTGATATTGATGCATTTGAAGTTATATAACATTACAAAATAAAATCAATATTGTATTTATTTATCTAATATTCAATTCCAAATCTGATTATACTTTGTTTTCTACATTATACACCCCTATGGCTCCTTATTTTTGTTTGGTTTTGTACCCTTAAGTTATAGAATATTGGAAATAGCCTCAATGAGAGCCAATGTCATATAATAATAGTTATAATATTCAATTCCGAACTACATACTTTGTTTTGTACAATATACACCCCTATGGGTCCGTTGATTCTGTGTAGAGACTTTTGTTTGAATTTGTGACCTTTAAGTTATAGAATATTACAAAATAGCCTCAAAACTTTCTTAATTTCTTCAATTTTACAGTCCGTACCGTTGTATCTTTCTGAAATGGCACCATATAAATTCAGAGGAGCACTAAACATCGGATTCCAGCTCTCAATCACCATCGGTATCCTCGTCGCCAACGTCTTAAACTTCTTCTTCTCCCAAATCTCCGGCGGTTATGGATGGCGGCTCAGTCTCGGCGGCGCCGTCGTACCAGCTCTAATCATCACCGTCGGTTCTCTCATCCTCCCTGACACACCAAACTCCATGATCGAGCGAGGTCAATTCGAGCTAGCCGAGACGAAACTCCGTAAAATCAGAGGCGTCGACGACGTTGAAGACGAGATTAGCGATTTGATCGCAGCTAGCGAAGCTTCGAAGCTCGTCGAGCATCCATGGCGGAATCTATTGCAGAGGAAATACAGACCACATCTAACGATGGCGATTCTGATCCCTTCGTTTCAACAACTCACCGGAATCAATGTCATCATGTTCTACGCTCCGGTTCTGTTCCAAACGATCGGATTCGGTAGCAACGCTGCTCTGACCTCGGCGGTGGTGACCGGTTTGGTTAACCTCGGAGCCACCGTGGTCTCGATTTACGGCGTTGATACATGGGGAAGACGATTTCTCTTCTTTGAAGGAGGATTCCAAATGCTGCTTTCTCAGGTTTTTTCAAATTCTCTAAACAGAATCAACCCGGTTATTGTGCAAACCGGTTTAGTCACATTTCGATCGTCTTTATTTCGTAGGTGGCTGTTGCGGCGGCGATCGGAGCTAAGTTCGGCGTCGACGGGAACCCAGGGCATTTGCCGAAATGGTACGCTATTGTTGTGGTATTGTTCATATGCATCTACGTGGCGGCTTTTGCTTGGTCGTGGGGTCCACTTGGATGGTTAGTACCATCGGAGATTTTTCCTCTGGAGATACGATCGGCGGCTCAGAGTGTAACTGTGTCGATGAACATGATCTTCACGTTCGTTATTGCGCAAGTGTTTCTGATGATGTTGTGTCATATGAAGTTCGGGTTGTTCATATTCTTCGCGTTTTTCGTGGTGGTGATGTCGATTTTCGTCTACTTTTTCTTACCGGAGACGAGAGGTGTACCGATCGAGGAGATGAATCAGGTCTGGAGATCGCATTGGTATTGGTCAAGGTTCGTTGATGCATGATGAGCTATGAAGATAATTAACAACTACTTAAGTAAAGAAACCATTGAAATGTGTTTTGTGGTTCTGTTTATTATCATGATTTATGAACATTGAGCATCATTTAGTATCCGGTTTACCTAATCGTAAATGAGCAAGTACAAGCCTAATTTGAGTTCCAAAAACAATCAGAGTTTGATTCTTTTTATTATTTTCGTAATCAAGAATGTGAGAAAACAAGAGTTTCGATTCAATACTTTACTTACATCATAAATGATTGTGTCATTTTGTTAAAGAAGGATCATCCTTGAACTTAGCATATAATGGAAGATCAAGAGCTTTCTCTGCAACTTCCCTGTCTTCGTGAATCTTTGTGACGAGGCTTTCAAGTGAAGGGAAATTAGCCTGCAAAAATGAAGAACATCACGTCGTATGACAGAGTCGTATCAAGAATTGATGATGATAAATAATAACAGAGTTATAATAACCTCAGGGCGAATATAGCCAACGATTATAAGACGTAGCTCTTCTCCGTAGAAATCTTCGGTGAAATCGTGAAGCAACCATGGCTCCTGTTTTAACAAGAGCTTAGTTATAGAAAGAAACAATTTGCAAGAGGAAACAGTTTTCAACTTTTTATGAACTCACAATTGTTTTCTCGGTGTTGTTGAAATAAGGATTCCAACCAATGCTCATGACCATTTTAAAGACGCCTCTCGTTGCCAAGCCCGCCCAACCGAAGTACACTCCTGAAGGATGTTCGACTAGCTCATCCGCATAATGCTTTGTTGACAAGTTAGCTGAAAACAAATGAAGTGATAAGAAAAGAGGCCACATAGTGAAGAAAAAGAGCTCGGTTCGATGATTTTTGTACTGACCTGTGGGGATTCCGAGTACTTTAGAACCACGGCCAAATCCTTTGATAACTGGACCTCCAATACGCCATGGGTCAATTGGTAGAGTGTTCTCTATCCCTATAAGGTTTGAAAGTCTTCTTACCGAGATGAAAAAGTATAAACAAAGAGGAGCATTAAGCAAAGTTTGTGAGTGTTTTCTTACAGTCTTGAAATGGAGGAAGTCCCCATTTTTCGGGTCTTATATCGAGTAGAGAGTTGATAACGTCATCTGCAGATGTATAAAGATGTGTTTGTTTAGGCAGAGAAGGAACAGCAATCACTTGTGTCCCTGCAGCTTTAGCAGCCATAACACCAGGCCTGCCATTTCCAACTAACTATTAGTATACACGAACCAAATGCGCAACTGCAAAACAATACTACGCTAAAAGTGAGACTCACACAGAATCTTCAATAACCAAACAATCTCCGGGATCTTTATTCAATCTTCTCGCTGCTTCAAGAAAACTATAAGAAAAAAAGTTGATCATTGTCATCAAAACTGTAAAATAACGTCTTTCGATGACTGGAAACAAGTAGATGGATCGAAATTGGATATCCCTAATAGGACAAGTGACGAGAGATGGATCTTACATATCAGGAGAAGGCTTTCCTTTGGAAACTTCATCGCGACCAACAATAACCGAGAAGCATTCCTTCCAACCTACACAACATCCATCTTCATGAATAGAAGTTTACCTATACGAGAGATTATGCATTGAGTAAACATTTCAATAAAAAGCCAAACCTTCATGGTAAGAGATTTTGGATTCAATATTTGCCCTTGAAGAATTCGAAGCCAAGGCCATAGGTACTCCATGACCTTTCAAATGTCGAATTAACCGATTTGCACCGGGAAGTGATTTGATCTTATCCATCCTAAAAATTCACCAAACTTAAAATTCCAAACCAGAAGAAATCAACAAACATGAAGACAAGAGAAACATGGAACTTACTGAGCAGAGAACAAAGGGTAAAACTCTGAATTGAATTCATCAACTGCACAAGGAAGTCCATAATCTTCAACAATTGTAGTTGCAGCTTCTAATGGAGTTTTCCCAACAATTTTAAGTGATTCTCTACCATCCCATTGCTTACCATATTTACACAAATATTTCTTCAAAATGTCACCAACAACACCATCTACACACACACATCAATCGAATATTCAAAATTATGCGAAGAGAAATTGAAAACAAGTTAATTGAGTTTACCTGTGTTGATTAAGGTACCATCGAGATCAAGAAGAACACAAGAAGAGAGCTTTTTCAAGGAATTGCTCATCGACATTTTTGTAACTACAAATTGTTCAGTCACTCTTGTTTATACTATCTGTAAATTCACCGTTCATACAATCGTTGACCTGTGAAGCTGCGACGGATCGTATACTCCGGCGAACGAAATGAAGACGACGGAGTAATCTCTCACGCAGGAGAGTTGAAAAATGGAGAGGAAAGGCTGAGAAAATGTACACGTAAGTTAGGGATTTAGGAATCTGCAATTTAGAGATTCCTAATTCGAATTCCCGGTCCAACCGAATCATTTGGATTGGTCTTCGGTTCGATCGAGTTTATGACATACTGACCGGTACGAATTCAGCTTTAAAAACGACGGCGTTTCATCAAGATTAGGCCAAGGTTCGGTTACCATAAACTCAACCGGTTAATTCAGCGGCTAATTGGAGAAATTTAATTTTGGTTTTACACTTTTAAGGCTTAACCGCTTAACACAAGCATCTCTCTCTGTTTTTTATTAGTCTTGACATGAACAATTCATTATCAAACTCTTTTAAGTTCACTTTTTTTTTTTACATGAAAAGTTTTCCTTAATTTACCGACCAAGATCCTCAGATTGCATTATGAATCTGGAAGTTAGCAAACAAATTCAATATCGTGGTC